CTCCCTCTCTCCCTCTCTCCCTCTCTCCCTCCCTCCCTCCCTCCTTACTTGGAATCAAACTCTGGGCCTCACGCTTGCCAGGCAGCCACTGCACTGCTGAGCTACATCCCCAGCCCTTACTTTTTCTCTTTTAAACATCAACCTACTGCTCAAATTTCCCCAGTGGATCTATAATATATCAGTATTGAAAGCCTTTGCATTTTCCTGGATGTACTAGAGACATCTCTTAATTACATATTAATGGTCAACCTCTACCCATTAGCTCTATTTGTTTAGCATGCATTCACAGACATTTAGAGGATTGAGCATTTGAACATTTGCGGGGGGAGAGTATTACTTACAACTAGAGTATTTCTTTTCTTATTCTTCCTTTTTTTTTTCTCCCAAAGATAAATCAGTTTATGAAGTCAAATCAAGTCAAAGGCTAGTTTATTAAGAAACAAAATAGTACTATAATCTGTCAAAATAAAACTTTTTCTCATTTCTGGAAAGGTAATGTTAAGGATTATCAAGTCATATAGATAAATTATATTTTAAAATTTTCTTACAGGTAAAAGTAGTGGTATTTGATAAGACTGGAACCATTACCCATGGAACCCCAGTAGTGAGTCAAGTAAAGGTTCTAGTGGAGAGTAACAGGATATCACGCAATAAGATCCTGGCCATTGTGGGAACTGCTGAAAGTAACAGTGAACACCCTCTAGGAGCAGCTGTAACCAAATACTGCAAACAGGTACAATTTTCCCTTTTATATTAAAGTAGCCATCTCCTGTAAGAATTGTCCTGACCAAATCTAGATAGGCATTTTACTATAACTTACGTATATTGTTGGTATGAGGCTAGCAAGACTTGTATTTTCTCATTTAATTATATGTATCTTAGTTTCTTCACACAGACAAGTAGAAGAATGAACACAGAAATTAACTATAATCCAATTATACGAATAACCTTTGTTGACATGAAAAATTAGGGCTGGGGATGTAACACAGTGGTAGAGAACTTGGCTAGAACACAAGGCCCTGGGTTTCCCAGCACTGGAAAAAAAAAAGAATACATATTTATGATAGGGAAATTCAGACAGTTTGGAGAATTACACAATGAAAAGTGAAAATCTCATTCCCTGACCTCTTCCATAATTCTTCTCTCGAAATTAAAAAATTGTTAACTTACTAGACTTTTTTAATGACAACTTTATTATTGAGATATGATTTCTATAAAGTTCATCTATTAAAAGTACATGGTACAATAACTTTTGGTACATTCACAAAGGTGTACATCTTTTAACTGTTTGAATTTTAAGAAATGGAGTTTTTTTTAAATTAATTTCTTTTATTGGTACATTGTAGGTATACAACACAATTACATTTCTCATTGGGAATTGTACCTTTACAT